TGTAAATATTATCAAGTCGCAATATTTTTTCGATCTTTTCTTTTAAAATTAATATGTAGCGATATACATATATAAATGTAAATATAAATAATAGTTATTCATAATATATATGCATTAAAATAAAAAAGCATATATATGTATATATATATTTTTTTTTTTTCAAGAAAGATAATTTTCGAAATTCTCCAATCCGTATATTTACGCGCGAGCAACATCAACAACGTGCTGCACCATTCTTGTGCATCTATAAAATAGCACGTGACTAGGATGACGCTCGCAGCAGCAGCGCCATTAAGAGCACATTTCGGCAGTTGTAAGCGGTCGGAAGCAGATTATGTTATCCTATTGTCAAACGTATAATCATATTTCATGGCGGCAAAGCGCGCCGACTGTTGATGGCGTAATTAAACTGTGATAAATTCAACGTACGCCATTAGATAATGAGTGCGCCAGCTGAACGTAACGCAGGACCGTTTAGGTGCGTTCGTTTCGTAATTAATCCTGTAAATGCAATAACGCAATCCGCGCGGTGTATTTTCTCACGTTGGATTCACCGCTGCGAGATTATCTGTCTGACCGGATAATATTATCACAAAACGTTTGCTAGTAATTGATAGATGCGGAGTATCCGCTTTGATATACGCTCTGCTTGATTAGCAAAAACGAAAGAGAGGGAGGGATGATCGCAAATCATGAAAAGAATGATAGAATAATTTCAGAATGGTTGCACATGCCAATTCTTGATAGCAAAATAATGCATACGAAGTGTCCTAGAAACTCTGACATATATTATAATATTACGAGACAAATTCTTTAACAAATTTTGCTGAAAAAAGTCAATTTCTTTCAAAATAAAATTTCGAGTAGGCAAAATATTTCAAAAATTTTATTATTTATTGTTATGCTTTTTAATATGTGATGTGTGTTAAAAATATCTTTGTAATTAAAATTAAAGTTTAAAATAGAAATCCTGTTAATTTTAGATAAATAATAGATCATATAATAGATCATAAAACTATTATTTTTAATTGCATTTTGAAATTTATTTTATTAATTTATTTTTATTTCTTTGCAATTTGTTTGATATTTAAAGCAACGTGATCAAGGAATAGGAATAAACACAAAAATTCGTAAAAAATATATTATACATCGAGTTTAAGTGATTTTACATTTAAAAAGCAATATTGTATTAAACGTTGAAAAATATGATCAGAATCAGCAGCAATTGTACGTAAACGCGTAATTGCGTGAAAGCTTTGCAGCATCCGTATTTTCGCAAGATGCGCTGCGAAAGTTTGCGTTCTCACAGGTGTCATAAAGTGCGACGATTTCGCAATAGTGGTCTGTACGGTTGGACGGTGTTATCTAATTTTGGTTTTGTTTTACCGCGGTCGGCCGCAAACCGAGCACGTCGACGGCGTTGCAGCAAAGATCGAGCTTTTCTCTCGAAATCGCAATCAGAAGCACGTACACTTGTGGAAATGCCGCGTAATACTCTCACCATCTCTAGGAATTCCAGCGCGGTAAAACAAACAAAAAAAGCGATGTTTGAACGTCCAACGGCACCGGTTTCGTTAACAGCAACGTCCGTTAATGCGATTAGCCACGGATAAAGTTTCTGTTTTCTATCGGAGTTTACTTTTTATAATTATCTAAAAGAGCTCTCTGTATGTATATATAATTATCTTTTCTATAGCAAAAAGAATTCTCTGTATAATGTAATTTATTTGGATGCTACTTTTATATTGGATGTTATTTTAATATTAATTTTTTTTATTTCTTTAAATAAATAGATAAATCTGTAGAGAAAGATATGCATAATTTTCTTTTTAACATAGACAATCTTTCGTACATAATTGTTTCAAAATTTTTAAGAACGATCTAAATAAATATATATTGACAGTACTGACTAGATTTATACTTGTTAGTTATATATTTATAGTTGTTCAAGCATTAAACAAGTTATATGTAAAAAAAATAATACATATATACTGTGTATTATATTATGCATAACGAATAAATTTAACTGCAACGTTATCTAAAGATTTTTCGCAATTTTAATGATTTTTGAGCGGAAATAGAATGTTGCTTTCAACTTGTCAACTTTGCTCATTAAAAAATTAAACTTCTTGAGGCGTGACGGCTTAGTAATAAAAAACGCGAGCCTTTCGTAAGATAATACGCCGGGATATAAGTCGTTAACTTGAAGTTCCAGCAAGGAAATATTGCTATCAAGAGACAACGCCGCGAAACAAGAAAAATGAATAAATCTTCTTTTACGAATTATAACGATAATTAGAAATGTTCATTTCGTGTAAAGGACAACGTAAAATTTTATATAAATTCTTTGTGATAAAAGTGGGACAAAATTGAGATGTTTATTTTAAATAAGCGTAAATTCTCTCAGAGCTTGTCTAGAAGAAAGCAAAATAAAATAAAATTCTTTTTACAATAAATTTTGTTAACAAAAGTTTTATAACAAAATTACATATTATGTGTATGTCTGTTGTTTTGGCTGTAACTTAGAACAATATCTTTTATAGAAAAAATATCTTTTTGAGATTGATCTCTCTCTTTCTCTTTGTAATCGCTTATTATACATGCTCAAGTCGTAAATACAACTATTTTTCTGCGTATAACTTTAAAATTTATATATACGATCATAATTTTACAATTCCCATCATATCGCTGGTTTCTAGTTAGACTTATTAGGAAACTAATCTTTTCAAGCGTGACGGGCGTGTAGCAATTCGCAAGATTTTTGTGCAAGATAAGGCTCTAAGATATACGTTATTAGTCCAGAATCAATAAAGAAAGATTCAAGAATAAAGAATATATATTACTGTATGTAAAAGAAAGAGAGGGAGACAGAAAAAGAACGGCATGCAAGTTCCGTACAAGTGCAACGCCTCGCGCAGAACGAGTGGAGGGAGTAACTCGTGTCCTGATGCACTTCCGCTCCGCGGAGTAAATCGTGTGCATTGCAATGCAACGGACTACCGCCGGCGGTTGAGCGTAACCACCGGCACGTAAGATTATGAAATTCGATAGAATAGCGTCATTGTGTTTGCTAGCTCCTTTATTGTTAGCCCTGTACTATATTCCGATGCAGAAACGTTTGTACGAAACAAGTATGTTTTTGCGGCACGAGAACAGCCTCAATGAAACTTGCTATTAACTCACAAAAAAAAAAAAAAATACTAGATATATTATTTTGAAAACATTATACATTAGTCGAGCGATGAAGTTTCTACTGATTTTCATTCGCATTTTTATTGAAAAAAATTGCTATTAAATTGATATATCATAAAATATGAGAGTAAAGAGAGAAAAGAGAGAGTAATGTTATTTAATATTTAAAAGAGTAACTCGTTAGCATTGAACTTTAATTTTTTGTTTTTTCTGTCTTAAATTATAATAACATTTTTTTTATTTCAGTATAATTTGGTTGTATCTTAAAACATAGTAAAGTACATCTAATTTAATAAAAAAGAAGCATCGGTATTTACTTTTTGGATTAATATGCAGTGTAACTAATAGTGTGAATATAAAAGTTATATCTTATAAAATAAATTTAAAGTATAAGTAATTAATATATATAAAATATCCAAGTGCATTAAAAATCTGCATCAGAAATAGTACGATAAATTGTGTAATAATATTTATGAAAATGCACAGATTGTGATTATTGCATAAATCATGACGTGAAAAGAGAAGGTGAGATCAATGGAAAAGAATGTTCTTGAGGCGCATAGATCATTGATATACTTGCTCAATGATTGTACTCTCAAGGTCAGTAAACTTACTGTACGATCACGGTCAGCGAAAAGGTCTCTGATAGAATTGGACTGAATTCTATCTAAGCAAAGAGGCCACTTTCAAGATTCAAGCGGAAATTCAGCGAGAAAAGTCATGTGTATGTGTGTGTGTGTATATGTATGAGGTTGTGTGATACGTTCCTGAATTCTATTTTACCTTCGACCGAAATGTTTCATCAATTTTAAATTAAGTACAACGGGCTTTCATTTTATCACAAGCTCGATCTTTTCGCGAAGACAAAAATTATGTATAAAACTTTGTGAAATCATATAGATACAAATATAAAAAATTATAAATATTATATAATTATTGCATAATTTTGAAGAATGCAATTTGCAAGAAAGCAAATTATCATTCTCGATGTACATATAATTTAAATTTGTAAGTTTAATATAATAATAAAAGTTGATTATTTGAAATTAATCGAAAGCGCTATAGAAATGATGGAAGAAATGAGTTTTAGTGTCGGTGAAAGCGCCGAGAAAAAAAAATGAAAAAAAAAGTTAATTGAAAGAGTGGATGTGTAAGCATGGTCTGATGAAATGTGAAAATAATGACAGTGTAACAGCTTTATAGATTGAACTAAAAGTCTGGTGATACGCATTACTATAGATAGTAATTATATGGTAAGGGCTACAGTGTCATTATGGTAATGGTGACATCATTTTCAACAATTTATGCAATTTAATAACTATGTTATCATTAATAAGTGATTACTTCAAGAAAATACAGGAATATGTAATCCTAAAAAAATTATATTAAATAGCTTGAGCAGAGATAATGAAAAAACTACAAAATGTATTATTTAAATTAATTAAAAAGAGTTTAAAATTTTTTAACTGTTTTAAGTTGATGTAACTATTTTTAGTAACTAATTTGAGTTGATATTTTTAATAAATAAATATTACTATTATACAGGATGACTGTAATAACATTTTGCCGTATTCACGTTTAACCGTTTTAAAAAGCATAAAGCGAAATATAAATTTTATATCGTTAAATTATAGAGAGATTATTTTATTCCCTGGATAACAATAATGGCGCAGAATCACTCGTGGAAATCATTAACAAGCCGTCGAAAGCAGATCACACCGCGTCACATTTACGGCATACACTCCACTCCGCGAAATTGTAACAACACCAGATTACGTCAATCGAAAAAAAAAAACAAATCCACATACCACTGAGTCTACCGGGAATAGCGTGCAACGATCCCACGAAAAGAACCGACAATAGTAGAAAAAATGCGATCTTTGTGGCCATGTCGTCCTGGATGTCACCGCGAGATCGTTCAAATGGTCCAGCCTGTTTCGCCGAATCTTCTCGTCTGAGGACAGGACCTCATGTAATTCTCGAGACGATCGATCGACGTCCTTAACGAGCGCGCGCGCGGACGCGCGAGATCGAGAGATCGAGTAATGCTGGGCTTCCAGCAGCAAGCCAGAGAATGTCGCCCGAGCACGTGTACCACTCGAATTTCTCGAGGAAAGAGTTACGGCGCATCGGTTATACGGTAGAATGTCACACCCAGATCGGCATCCGACAAACCGAGTTCTCTTTTGGTGTAAGTCCTTGTAAATGGTACGCTCGTGCATCGGTGTGCATGAGTTTGACGAAATTCTGGTAAGGTCACCGTGAATTCGGGTCGAGATCAGATATCGCCGAATGGCCATTGTGTCGCGGTGAAAGGTAAAGAAAGAAATATTTTTAAACGCAAAGTGCTTGACAGTAACTCCTTTACAAGAAAGCAATCTAAATATTAACTGTTTTAATATATTATTATTAAATAAATTATTTATATATTAAATAAATTATATTATTACATTATTTATTAAATAAATTATTCCAGCCCAGCACACGCAATTATTTTTATACATTAAATATTGTATAATTAAATATTCTTGTGTGTGCATTCAAATGTTCAATATTCAAAATACATTCCAGCAAGCTGTCTTGACATACAATATTGCTATTAATCGAAAATCTGCATTGCTAATATATTTTTCAAAAATAAGTTATAAAAGAAGATAAAATTGCAAATGCAAAAGATTTATCAAGATTAAAGATAAAGAAAAAAAGTTTTAAATGCAAAATAAAGTTAAAAATATATATGCTTTATTATTGTCTTTTTAATTATTCATTCAGGCATGGAATCAACTTTTGAACGATCTGAAAGAAATTTATATCAAATTTAATATGCTTAGAGAATATGTTTAATTACATACACACTGTTTTCTTATATTATTTGTCTCGCAGAAGTTTAATTTTAAATTTGTGTATTCTAATAAAAATCTGTGCCAAGCCGGGGAGCGAAATAGAAAATTTGTTTTACATTTTCGGCCAACAAGTAAAATTCCTTCGAAAATTATTAACCTGCTTTGTCGGATGCACTGCGCGAATTCGTTGCAAAGCACTCAAGTACATTATTTATTCGCAAAGCGAATGTATTCAAATTCAATCTATTTTCACTTTCCACGTATCACCGTCGATGCGCCGTTCTTCTTGACATACACATGCATATATTAATGCGCCCATTCTAGGGACGTATGACTACGTTAATCGAGTACATTGGCTAAGGAGTTGCAAGTAAATGCATCTATGCACACGTAAAGATCAATGCGCTTCCTGTAGAAGAACGCTATATATATACGCAAAAGTTCTTGATATTTTATCTTATTAATTTCAATATATTTTTAATTATTATTGTATTTAGTCAAATAATCAAAACAAAAACATGTGCACTACACACAACTATCGATAATAATTATATTTTTATAAATATATATATCAATGCAATAAGAGAAGAAATTTGTATTTATATTCCTGTCATTTATAATTAGTATATTTTTTAAATTCTATTTCTTTCTTTCCATTTTTATATTATTCTATTGTATTATATATGTCACATACATATTTGTATACATATACATGCACATTTGCTTGCAAATTCTTAGGATGTACTTTAAATTCTCAGCCACTAAAAACAGACAAAGCTACGAGATCCAGCAATTAATTAACGTAAAGCAAGTCGCACATCAATAACGTTCTTTTTCGGATACCTTGATCAGTTTAAGAAGACACTTCCCTGATCAACCTTCCGAGGCAAACAACGATAAACTGAACGTGGTTCCTACATTCACTTTTCAATTGGTTTCCACTGGCCGACCTTCATTGGCTATTCATACTCGTCTCAGACGCGGAACGAACATCCTCGATCAACATACTTTTAGCCTAGATATTCGAGAAAGATACGTGTCGTCAGAATTCCCCCGTTCTGATGGCCGCAAACATCCTCGAAATAATTTCCTTCGTGATTTGCATATACGTCGATCTGGGAAAATGATTTGATGGTTGTAGCGCATCAGTTATTACTGCAATTGTGCGTCGCGGTAATTTCTGGACATATTGTGTTCTTCGGCAAGAAATGTATATTCTTATATTACCAGAATAAAAACCAAAGAGATATTGGTTATTTTAATGGCACAATTGAAAAGCGATTTAATTAATTATCATTAAAAAATTTTAAGAATTATTAAAGAATGTCTTTATAAAAAGATATAATAAAATCTTGTATTTTACTAAATAATATTAATTGAATTTTATCTCAAAGAAATTTAACAGACCTTATTGTTAAACTATTTAATATTGAAAATAAAATAAAGCAAAAATATATTTCAAACTTGTTATAGAACTTGAAAGCACATTCGATGGTTCTGATGTTTTATATAGATGCAATTTATAGAATTTCACGTAACAGTTCTTCGATTATAAAACTCATTTAAATTTTTTGCAACAATTTCCGTTATATTATACGGATGAATAATCGCAAATAATTGAAAAATGCAATCGTGCGAATTGGTCAGAATTCGAGAAACGTTGAGAGTTAATTTTTTCACAAAAAGATCTTGATTCATCGATTTAATTTCATTTTCTCTGTACGCGCGGGTCGCCTTTCACCGAATTGTAAATTGAATTTATCGACCCGCTCGACTGGCACGCCCGAAAAAATATGCGTGACGTAAACAGACGTTGCTTTCGTAGAATTCTTTGGTCTCCAGGGAGAGACCGAGCTTCTTCTTCGTTTTCCGGATCTTCGAGAAGTACTTCACGGGTGAAATTCTCGAGATATCGCGCGCTCGGGGATTCCTCGGAATCCCGATCTAAAGTGGATCCTTAGCCATTTAGGAAAGGATTTTACAATTTGGTATTGTAATATAATTAATAATTAATTAACGTTTATAAATAATATGTAACTATATATATATATATATATCGCGATCTCGAATCACATATTTTATAATTTATTCATTTAATCAAATAAGAATTAAAATAATAAAAAACCAAATTATAAATTATCGTTTTGTTGCGTTTTTTTACGAACAATAATTATTTCTTTAACAACACATAGAGTCAAATATATTTTGTCCGCGATGCTATATTATTTGATTTTTCGATCTAGATATAATTTGGATTAAGAATGTGCTAAACCGTTGAATCGCAAAATCGGATAATTAATATAATGATAAGTTCCGTGATACATTAATCGTTTAATAAATAATTGATCTATATTTTAAAATACTTATATAATTTAATATTTTGCATATCTATTTCATAGTACATAAAATATTTCGACAGCGAGTTAGGATAATATCTAACTAGTATTTGGTCTTGGCAGCGTAAACGTTAGCGCGCTATTGTTACGACTTTGTTATTATTTATACGGAGACACTTGAATAGAACTGTAGTGGGGCGAGTCGCTCCATCAAATTCGTTTCCTAAACGCGATCGCGACAAGTATCAGAAAATAATTTGATAAGATTAATATCTACTTATCTTTTACATACATTACCACGATAAGAAATAATTATTTCTTCAAAAATAAAATTTAAAATTAAATATATTTTCGACGCTTTATCGTTTGACTTTTAACAGCATCTAAATATGATTCGGATTAAGATCGAGCAATTAAACAATCGATTCGCAAAATCAAGTAATTAACACAAGACTTCGCGATACATCAATCGTTTAATAAATATAATTAATCATAATTCAAAATATATTTTATACACTTTAATATTCCGCGTATATATATAATATAATAGTACATAAAATATTTCGGCAACGACTTTTCGATAACATGGTATTCAGCCTTGGCGGCGTAAACATTGGCGCGCTATTGTTTACGTATCATGATTTTGTTATTACTCATACAGCGACACTTGAATAAGAACTATAGTGGGGTGAGACGCTCCATCAACATCAAATTCCTTTCTTATGTTATCATTCACACGACGACATCCGCGCAGTGAAGTAGCTCGTCGGTGCCGTCATCGTGTCGCGGACGGCTTTCGCGTCTTTCGCGTCGCGTGTCAGTACAGCATTGCCACGAGTCGCACAATGGCTCATATGTGGCACGCGCATTTGTGCGTTGAACGCACATTAGTGCGTCGTCGTTGCCGTCATCGTGCCG